CCCGGGATCCAAACCCGGGCCGCCAGCAGTGGAGCGTGCGCACTTAACCGCTAAGCCACAGGGCCGGCCCCCTCACATTCTTATAGAATCCATAATACTATGGTATCAGTAAGGCCCAGAGAGACTGACTTGCCTACTACTCCTAGTAGGTGTAGGCTTTTCCCACACCATAAATCTCCATAGTTCCTCATTGGACTAGCAAGCTTGGTTAGTCAGGGAACGCTTTCCTTTGCGCTGACCACTGTGTGTACGATGTGGGACTGCCCCGAGTGAGGGGAAAAGCTGTTGATCCTGAAGCCCAGGAGCATCGGTCACTTCATTCGATGGCTGGCTGCTCTGTTGGCCTCTCTGTCTTCTGTTTACCATTTTAAGGTGAAAGCCAGAAGTGATAGAGGAACATGAAAAACCATTGGTGGAGTGAAAGACAAGTGAAGAAGCGTTTTATTTTTTGTGAGTTTTATTAACCATGTCATTAGGTTGCGATAATGAAATATACTTTCAAGAAATAACCTTAATATTGAAATTCCTGCAGGACAGATGGCTTTGTTAACACAAGACTGAATTTCAGTTATTTCTTAAAGGATAAGGACTATAAATGGTAGAACTAGAATTTACATTCTTCCACTGTTGATAACAGCTATCATTTATTGAGTATTTCCTATCAGCTGACCATCTTGTGTAATTACATGTATTGATTAGTTTAATCCTCACTGCTACTCCATAGGTAGTTTTGTAGTTGAGGAAACCATTGCACACAAGTTAAGGCCACATGATTAATAATTCGTGTAACTGAGCTTCTACTCAAGCCAGTCTGGCCCCTGAGCCCTGCCTCTTAAGCACCACCCCACCCTGCTAATGGACCCCCTGGCTTTCCTCTGACACAAACTGGCAGCAGATCAGTTGGGTATAGTTCTTTAATCTGCCTTTTTTTTTTAAGATGAGGTATTTTCAAGTAAATTATAGACATTGTGTCATTCCACCCCCAAATATGTAAGTGTGCATCTCTTATCTTTTTAAGAACGTTTTCTTACATAGCCAAAATATCATCGCATTTAACAAAATTAGCAATTTCTTAATATCTTCCTATATCCTATCCATATTCAGATTGGCCCATTTTACCCCAAAATGTCCTTTCGAGTTAGCTTGTCTAAACTAGGACCCGTAGTACATCTGATTGTTGTGCCTTTGAAATCTCTTTTACTTTAGAGTAGTCTCTTTCTTTTTTTTCCTTCTTCACAAAACTGATTTATTGAAGAAAAAACTGGACCCATTGTCCTATAGAATGTCCCCCTTTCTGCATTTGTCTGATTACATCCTTCTGGTGTCATTTGGCTTGTTCTTCTGGTCCCTGTATTTTATGTAACTGGAGTTAGGTCTAAAGCCTTGATTAGATAAAAACTAAATATTTTTGGTGGGACTACGTGAGAGGTGATGTTGCATCACATCAGAAGAAAAAAGTACTGGGAAACAGGATGTTAATAACAAAAAAGAAGTGCATGATACACTGATGGAGAAGATGAGTATTACTGTTATAGAAGGTGGTGTATCTTACATTTTAAAGCTTAGCCTGCCCACTCCCTACAGATATATCCTCTTCCCACTAGGTCTGTTGTATATGTATGTCAGAGATAGATTAGAGGCCTGAGTGGCCTGTGCCTTAGTCCCTTTTCCCTAATGCCTAAACTTCCTGCTCTAGCCTCCTTTGCCCTGAACATACATAGTGGTCACTAGACTTGCTGATGCTTCGTAGCCCCCAGTCACCTCACACCACACCACAGCAGTCCAGGGGGACATTCCCCAAAAGACCTGTAACAGGAGAGACATGATCCACCAAAGGATTTGCCTGCGTCTGGGGTTAGTTGTAATCTTTTTATAGTACTAAAAGCTTACCCCTTAGCACAATGACCTAATCATGTGTCCCTTAGAGACTCTATATTTTGTCTTTGGTTCATATCAGAGCTTCTCATTCTTGGAGGTGAAGTTGGGCAGGAACATCTTAAGCATCAGTAAAGTGGGCCCCTTGTAGAATTTAATGAAAATTATAGATCCTTTTCCCAGAAATAATGCATATACATTGATTCACAGAAAATTTCTCTAGAAAGAAGAGGGGAGAATATGAGAAACCAAAACATTCTTTTTTTTTTTTTAAATATTTTATTTATTTATTTATTTTTCCCCCAAAGCCCCAGTAGATAGTTGTACGTCATAGCTGCACATCCTTCTAGTTGCTGTATGTGGGACGCGGCCTCAGCATGG